GCAGGACAATGAGGAGCCTTGTGAGAATTCAGTACAGTCCCTCTCACCCTATCCTATGCTAATCTAACAGCATTCCTAGCACTCTGACATATCTTGTGTGATTGAGTTTAGAATTGTTCACTCAGTTGGGGTGAGTTTTCAAATTAACAGTAAGTCTTTCAGGTTGTAGAGCTTAGTTAAGTAGAGCCGTGATTAGTCTATGCAAGTTGATATCAGCTTAAATTAAGTCTATATTATAAAACCAGAAAAGCAATGAAGCTATTCCATTTCTATTTGAGTTTATTCAGCTGTGTTTCTAGCAGCACAAACTGAAATTAAATTGAAGTTCTCATTTACACAACAGGAATGTCCTTACCACAGTGTTCCTTGTCATACTTTTAAGGACAACTTCTTGAAAGAGTACTTTGAAATTAGCTGACGAATTTTGAAATAATAGGAGAATGATAAAGTGCTCAAACAGATTTCAGTTAACGTTAACCAATAGTATTGATTGTTACTTGCAACGAAGTTGACATTTTGCCATGCAAAGTCATAAAAACCCAACAAAAATGTCCATCCAAATGCAAACCAATGTTTTTCATGCTTCGAAGTAGTTGATATAAAACATACAAATAGCAAAAGTCTCTAAATGGGCTTTAAATTAGTAGGACAAAGATTAAATTTGAAAAGTAGACAGGCAGTAAGATCATGCCACACCACGAAAAATTATGTAAGTCCTGTGAGCTATAAAGTAAGCGATTAAGGCACATTGGGATACTGCAGGGAAACAAAGTTATGCTTTTTATAACACACAGAGCTCATTTCAGTATTTAAAAAGTAATCAGTGGGACTCCTGGAAATTGAAACTGTATTACTGATCTATTAGTGATGAACATATCCAAAAAAATGGTGATAAATAAGAACTAGGTGGTGCAACTGGCATGGGTCATCTAAATAAAAATAAATTTCTTTACAAGTCTGTGATTTTCCTCCAGAGTATGTTGTAATGATAAAAGAGTGAGTGTTATCAATATTGCAGTAGTTTATGACTATTATAAAAACACTCAATCTTTTGATTACTCAGTGAAGGAAAAATGGATTAAGTTGCAGAACTTTGGAGAACAATTATTTAGGTTAATCCAAACTGAGAAATAGCACCTGGGATCGTATGAAACTTAAACAAGCTAGAAATAGAATTATAGAGGCAAATTTTGGTAACTGTAAAAGCAAAATAAATCACATTGGAAGAAGTAGCTTAAAGTATTCCTGAAATGTAAATGACCTATAACAACTCTAGAGGTATCTTCTGACCCAAATAATTCTATGATTCTATCATCAAACGTCAAAGTTGGACCTGCACTGAGCAGGGAATTGGACCTGATTTGACATGATGATACTGTGATTTGAACTATCAACATGAGAAAAAGATATAAGGATTAGTATGGAGTACTACCTTTTACGGCTTATCTATTATTTAAGTGGAAGAACTGTGGTATTTTAAGATTTAGAGAATTCATAGCTAAAAACTGAAGAAATGTGTGGATGTAAAGATCATTCTTATTTTTAACCCAGCTTCACTATCTTCAGTTGAACAGCTACAATTCATATCAATCAAGAATGTGACTTTATGTTTTTATAATGTATATGCTTGCCTATCAATTTGAGTTCTAGTTATTTATTGTATCAATGATTTTGATTGCAGTTTATTTCTGAGTAAACTAAAACAATATCCTGCTATCCAAAATTTCCATGAAAGTTTTTTAAACTATGCCTGTTGAAAATAGGACAAGACTATTGCCTATTAGGAATCTTTCAACGAACACAGAAAAAAAAAAAGTGATCGGTAGGATAAGAAAGCTGTCACTTGCCTATATAGCTGTTGCAGGGAGTTGTTTACTCCTTCAGGTTGCTAAAGAGTTACTCTTCACTGTTTTTGTCAAGGACAAAAGCAAACAGTTGCTGTAAGTTTTCCTTTTACTGAATCTGCTACCTCGTACTTTTTAGAGTGAGTGAAGACTAATAGGAAGTTTTTTCTTCATTATTCAGAATGATAATAAAGGTAATAAAAACTAGAAAGTTGTCAAAAAGTTTCCTAGAATTGTTCACACATCTGTGTGTTTGATTACACAGATGTTCTAATCAGTGGTGTCAAATGGCTGTGCTTTATCAGAAGTTTGTATGTTTGGACTAAGTAGGCTTCCCATTTCTAATTTTATGTAAACTGTTAGCAAAATAGAACATTGTTGAAAATAGCGATGACCATATTGATAATCTGATTTTAAAAAATTTTTTTTTAAAAACAATTACACGTATTGTCTCAACACAACACTGTGTCAGAATTAATTTGTAAACAGTAACTGGCAAAAGTCCTGAAGCATGAGGGGCTTCTGTGACGATTTCAAAATTTCTAATTATAATAACAACACGTTCTTTGGTATTTGTGAATATTTCATTTTATGACTTTCCATTTGTTACCCATGCTTTTGATGATACTTCTCTTGCTGGGTCTCATATTGCGTAGTTTTACAACGTAAGGAACTCTTCATCTTCTCTGTGAAATAACTGTATGATATTTTCAGTTCCTTCTCAAAAAGTAGTTTTCTGTATCTCAAAGTGCACTCATTAATACTTGCCCTACTACTTAATTTTGCACAACCTAATTGATTGTTTTGCATTAATGAAATACATTTTATTTGCTTCTGATTTTGATTCCCAGCGAGTCTTTTGCAACTTCATTACTATTCAGACAACGTATCACAAACAATTGAAAGCTGAAATCTGGGTTGGTTTATTTTTCTCCACAACCTTCTTTGGTATTCTTGTGATTTTGGTATATTTTAATCGGGTTTGCTATATGCTGAGAGCTTTCCTAGTTATTGCTGGCCAATCTCGTTTTCGTCAAAACCTTAAGACAGCCCATGGAAATGTTTAGAAGCACACTCTTATCCTTTGAATAGTGTGAAACAATGTATTGGGTGCTTTTCAGGGTCAGAATGCCACATAGTGGGTCAGATTGCTCAATCAGCTTTATCAGTAGCAAGACTTTCCAAATGACTGTCTTTACGCAACAACAACATATTTTTTCAATGATAGAATGAAGTTTAAAAACTTGTCTGATACCGTACTTAATAAAAATTCACCTTAGCATCTCTGCTTTTTCTCCTCAAAAGAATTGCAGCAAATTTCCTTTTCTAACTTAAGATTGGAGTCTTCTTTCTTCTCTTGGCTAAGGATTGCTATTGCTTCTTTTGCCACCCTGTTCCTTCCCCCGCTCTCAATTGAGGAGGAAAGGGTAAAAAGGAAGGAACTTCAGTACTTCACATCTGCACCAGATTTAGCACTTCTCTGGCTTCAGGCTTCTTTTCTCTATTGCAGCTTTCTGAAGACATACTGATAAAATATTATCCATCTTATTATAAGAAAACTTAAATGCTCAGTACTTCTACTAAATTTATGAACTTTGACTAAATCTTTGTAAGTGTGGTATAATAGATGGTAAAAATATGAATTGGCTTCTTGAATTAAAAAGTATCACCCATACCTGCAGTACGTATTCTATGGGAAATTCTTCTAAAAGATCCCTTCGGAGTGGTGTTATACAGCGCAGTGATGAAATATTAACATATAGATACATCTCTGAAGACAGATTTTCCAACTCTATTAAAAATTAATTGAAAATATACCTGATCGTAACAAACATTCCTTATTTAAATAACCATATCTCAGAGAGTTACTGCTGGATTTTGACTAGTTTCGGTAAGCTCACTGCTGTTAATGTAGTATTCTGGCAATGTATGACTTAATCATGCAATTGTCATATCTCTAGGACTTTGTCACAAATACACTGAAATGATTTTTAGTGCATACAAAAGTGTTCTAACCTTAGGGATTTTTAACTGTTGTTAAAATAAGACTCGGTATCCTTGCACTGAATTGATTTTTTTCAGCCATTAGGTTTGCTTGGTCATCAACAGTTATATGAGTTTGATTTGCTTATATTTAAAACAGTTATCTTTCCTGGCTGGTGAGCACTGAACAGAGAACTAGTCGTCTTTGCCAGTAAACACTGAAGACAATGAAAATATTCTTTTGGAGGAAATGAGCACACTAGAAATCTTACCTGAAATGTTCAATGTTTCGAAAATGTAATGCTTTGTATTATGGTGTCATGTATTATAATTTATTTCAGTATATGAAAATAGCTTTGAATGATCAGTTATGTAGACACTTATGTTCGTGTAATTTGTAAAAGCTCTTAAAAATGTTTAGTAGCTATTGAGCCTTGAATGAAAGTCCCATCTAAAACATCTATATTTTCCACTTTAGTTAGTATTCAAAAGATAACAAATTCTTACCTGTGTGTAATCACATGCTTGTATAGTGCTTGGCTATTTTCCTTGATCTATTTAATTTGCTACTTATCTTCATCGTTTAAGTTCTTCAAGACGGGAATTGTCTCTCTGTCCTTTCTCACCTTCTGTTAGTACAGTAGCTAATTCAGTAGTTCTAATGATGTCTGAAATGCTGAGATTTACTGCAATAAAACGTATTCCAAAGAGCATCAGAACTGTATAGTTATTTTTTTAACAATTTCTTATGCCTTAAAATATTTCTTTGTTTATTTTTTAAACAAGTAACTGAATTTTAAGCATTTTAGATAAGTCTGTCTAAGTAAGCCTTAGCACACAGTAATGTTGTAGTTGTATGTAAAAAGGTATGAATATATAAACAGGAACACTCTTTATTTTTTATTAACTACCAGCTGCTAAGAATTCAAGGACCTTCAACTTTGTTCTACTGGAGTGGATTGTTAGATACAGTTCATACATAAATCTAGTCTAAAACTATGATTTTTATTAATTATTTTTAATGCTGTTTTGAAAAAGTAGCGCAAGGATTAGGTAGGCTTTTTGAAGTTGAAGATATAGTTTAGCTTATATGTTTGGGATGTTACTTTCCAGTGGTAAAGCTTATTAGTAAAGTAAACTACTTGACTAATCCTAGTATGTATTTTAAAACAGGTGAGGCTAATGATAAGGATGTTCAGGTGGTGGAACTTCCCATTGTTGACAGCTTACACCCACGGCCACCTTATTTACCGTTGGCTATCCCCGAAGACCTGGCTGATAGACTGATTCGTGTACATGGGGATCCTGCAGTGTGGTGGGTCTCGCAGTTTGTGAAATACTTGATTCGTCCACAGCCTTGGTTGGAAAAAGAAATAGAGGAAGCCACAAGGAAACTTGGTTTCAAACATCCAGTGATTGGGTGGGTATTTAGTTTTCTTTTTAACTGTCTGTGCTTTAATATGTGTATATAGTGATTCCTGTTCAGGACAAACTGTTTTATAATGGTTATCCAAGAGTCTCAAGCATTTTGTGGGGACAGAAGATGCTTTCTAGATGAAGCTATTATTTTTTAACTGCGCATAATACAAGTTGATTACAAGTACTTCTTCAGCATACTTGCCTACTTATAGTTGGACAGATATATAAAAGGCAGCTCAATAGAAGGTTTTTTTATATATCCTTCCATGTCTAGAAATGTGATATAGAATTTCATTCATGTAATTGCCTTACAGCTTGTATTCCAGACACTTTTCTGTCTGGATCTTCTTTTCAAGTGCCTATAGCCTTTACATTTGAGGAAAAAAGGCTAAGCCTACATTTTACATGCCACAGTCCACAACTAATTTTATTGTTGGCTGCACCTGAACATGGTATGTGCCTTTCCCTTTCGTGCTGATGTTTTCACTGTTGTTGTTTCTTAGCAGTAGCTATGAATTGGAAAGGTCTGTATGGGGAGATATGGGGAGAAGGAAGGAAAGCACCTATGGGCAATAAAGAGCAGCTTGTGGAAGAAATGTTTTGCTGTCATGTAACGTGAAGAATTTTGCTGCTGCTGTACTAGAGTCTGCAAATATTGCTTCCTTTGCCAGAATTTTCCTTCAATCCTTAATCTTTATTTTTGTAGGAGTACACAGTAGTTCTGTCCAAATGTTAGTTGGCTTTTGACCATTGAGTTAGTATGCCACTTCAGCACTGACAGATCTGGAGACTTGTTAGGTTTCAAGCAGATGGGGAAGATGCATTTTTAACTACTTTCATTCAAACCCTGCATTGTAGTTGGTGCCTCAATATATCCATGATGCAAATATTCCTATTTTGCTTTTGCATTGTATTGATCAAGCATTATCTAACGACACCGGATAACTTAACTTTCTGCACAAAAGGAATACCCTGTATGCTATAATTAAACCTCCTTCATTCTTTTATTTTAATTACCCTTTGCCTTCCTTGCAAGATTATTATATTGCTTTCAAGAACAGACTGACAGCTAACTTCATGTTGTCAGTGTGTCTTGATGGACATCAGTGATTTTTAATCCTTCCTTGTTTTATGGAGGGATTCAACTTAATATGCATTCTAAAAGCACAGACATGAAATTTAAAGTTAAAATTTTAGTTGCTTAAGTATGTATTGTATTTATAAATTGAATTCCTAGTTTCTGCCTTTTTCCAGTGTTCATGTTCGAAGGACAGACAAAGTAGGAACAGAGGCAGCATTTCATCCGTTTGAAGAATATATGGTACATGTTGAAGAGCGGGTTGAACTTCTTGCTCGCAGAATGCATGTTGATAAAAAAAGAGTGTATTTGGCTACAGATGACCCTTCATTGTTGCAAGAGGCAAAATCCAAGTAAGATGAATTACATTTATATTACAGTTTGTTCTTTTTGGTTAGCTTTACAGTTTCTGACTATTGTGCACACAAATCTTAGTATAATTTTTTTTGTTATCATTTATACAGTTAAGATTGCATTTCAGCTTCCGGTGATTTTGATTTTTCCCTCAGACATTCTCTTTTTTGGATTTTTTTTTCCCAAGTATTCTCTTCAAAGCTTAATGTTAAAAATCTAGAAGAGTTGAGCAAGATAGCTGTGACTAAAAACAAACCAATGCTGTAAAAGGGAAGTAAAAATATAAATAATAAATACACCAAACTTCTTATAGAACATACATATTAAAAAGAAACTATTCAGAAATATTCTAAAAACTGGTTAATGTATTAAGAAGTTTCACCTGTCCAAACAATAACTTTCTGTGACTAGATGCCAGAGAAATTTTTATAAGTTCGTTGAAAAGCTTCTGATGACTCTTTCAGAAAGATTTCTATATTGACAACTTGGAGACTCTCATCCTACATGTTGAATAATTTTAAAGTTTGTCCTTAAACATATGTGGGATTCTCTATCTGTAACATTGCCTCTGTCCTTTTTTTGCTCTTTGTCCTCTTCTAGCTCTCCACAACATGCGTGTAAAAATCTACCATAGCTATAGGATATCCCAGCCTGTCATAGAAAATATAACTGTGTTCAAACCTGGAAATGGACAGTATGCATCCATTTACTCCTAACATGGCCTGTATTTTCCTGTAAAAACGCAATTGTTAAGTTGCATGTTTTGCAAGTTGTCACTGAGATGGCAAAACCTTCTGTTTAGTAAAAGAAAGCAGGTGCATATGGAAGAATAATCTTCCATATTTAACTGTGTCTTTATTGGGTTATGGTGTTTATGGCATATAAAAAATTTCACAAATGCTTATTGCCATCACTATGGAAACTTGAATAAGTATTTCAGATGCATTTAATTTAAGCGTATTCATTACTGAGTACAAGTTAGCGTGTTTTCCTTTTGAGTACTATTTATTTATCTGTCTACTAAATAGCACCTATTTCTGTTCCCAAAATTTTATCTCCCTTGAGCAGAAGAATATCTATTTTTTCATTTAAGCAAGGAAATTAAGACTTTTTAAAATCAAGGTAACTGAAAAATGGCAAATTTTTGAACTGTTTTATTCTTGGTAGAGATGCTTGGAAAAATATATAAGGTAACATACTGGATTACAAATTTTCTTTGGCATATACAAGGTAAGCAGAAAATGTTATTTTATAGTAGAGGAATTTTCTACAGCATTGCAAACCTGTGTATTTCAATTGTGCTATTTCTATTTTTCTTTCATATCTATAAAGGGCTGCTGTTTAAAATTATGGAGTTTTGAAAAAACTAAATGAACATACACAACTCCAGATGATGGCAATCTAATCCTTCCTTTTTTGTATATGTAGAGACAAGAACAGTAGCAGAAACAATTATGATAACATAACATTTAAAGTGCAAATCTGAACAATGAAAAGACAGGTAATACAAAATTGAGGTTGTAATATTTAATTTATTACATTGTCCTAAATAATTACTGTTTGTAACATAACAGAATTCAATATTGCTGTAACAATCTTAGTTTTTTTCTTTTTTTCTTAGTATTTTTCTTTATTTGTGTTCAACTTTCAATCCTTAGCACTGTATACATTAGCTTTGTGAATAATAAGGAAATGCACTACCTATGTAAACATATCATCCCAAGTTTTCAATAGCAACAAAAACTAGCAGTAGAATTGTGACTTGTTGGGTAAAACAATACTGAATTTTATTAAGCATTGCAGTTTCTGTGGCAGTTCAAGGTCCATTCCAAATCACACTTTTATTGAAATATGATAAGATACAGCTCATTAGTACAGCATTCATTTTGTATGTTTTCTTAATAAAAGCCATAGAATCTGTAAGTAGTGACGAATTTTTTATGTGTTACTGCTGAGTTTTCAGGTAATAGTTTACACTGGAACATAATTTCCTAAGTTGCTTGTATCCCATTGTTGCTTGCAGTTGAGTAGAAAGCATTTGAAACTTCCTGTGATTTCATAGAAGGCAGGATGCAATTTGGTGTTTCAGCATTTAAGCATCTGAAGGCAGGTTAAGGTCAGGTTTTGGGAATAAAGAACCTTTTCTTCCTCTTCTTGTGAAGAAAACTACAAATTAGTTTACACTTCTGACAAAAAAATTCTAGTACATTGAACTACCAAGCTTTGACAGAAACAGCTGTCACATTGTACTGCAGTAGCTTATGTTGCATTCATTATTGGGTGCAGTAATATTAGTAAGTACTAGATGTTATATATCTCTTTATGTGAGTGTTCGGCTGTCAAATAACATTGGCATTTACATAATGAAAATTTAGCCAACATTCACATGAACAGTCATGTTGTTTCTGTTAAGAGAAGTATTTCAAACTGTTCATAGTCATGAAAACAGAAATGTTTTGATTTAAGTTTCAGAAACTTCCCTTGCAGTCAGATGTCTACCAACTGCAAGTGCAGTAGTAAAGACAGTGGAGTCAGCACTATCAGTTTGTAGAGTGTTTTTTGTTTGTTTTGTTTTCCAAAAGAAAGAAGGAAGTGATATATTTTTCAGAATTACAGTGATATAGAACAACATGATTAGAGGATCATGGTTGAGAGTTCAACAGCTGTATAAAAGCACTTGACAACCTCTGGTAAGCAGAGGTCATGGTATTTGTGTTATGTAAGTGGTATGTTAGGGATAGTGTAAATTACTTGTTCTTTGGCTGATTTAACAGTTTTCAAATACAAACTTTTGAATTTCTAGTATATGTATTTCTAGTCTATAATATTATTGACAGCATCTTCTCTCTATTCAAAATAGTGCAGCTGAACATGCACATAAATTCTTAAGAAACCATATTTAATACCTTTCTCGTTTATGTATGAATCTATTTAGGTCTCTTTCTCATGTATATGAGTACTAAAGTTCAACTAATTACATTCTTCCTTTCAGGATGTTTACCTGTAAAGTCATCTGTATTTTGCTTTTTCATTGTTTTGCAGTAATTTGCCTCCCTCATGAGTTTTTTCCCAGCACTTATGAAAGCTTTTTCCCCACCCTATTTCACTGTTTATTTACTTCCACAATAGCAAGTTAATGTCTTTTCTACCTGTGTACTATTTGTAGTTTAGCCGTTGCAACCCTCCTTGCCCCCAAGTCATAGTATGCCTAATATATAGAATTCAGTAGTGCTCCAGAGTTATTGAGTCTGATGAACAGCTCATACATTTTCCAATTCTTTTTAGAGCAAGACCTGAATGAACACATTATTTCTTCCTCCATCTGTTTACACACATGCTCGCATTCTTCTTTCAGAGGGAAGAAAACTTGCATAGCCTGTTCTGGACACTTCCCCAGTCTTAACAAATAGAGAGCAGGAGCCTGGGACTCGCCTTGGTTTGCACCTGCCACACAGCGTAGCGATAAGCTATAGTTACACAGCTAGTTGATCAGCTTCTGAAACCAATCGGAACTTGAAATAGTCTCATAACTGCGCTTGGTTTGTATCCTTATCTGAGGCTGGTAGGTGCAGGAAGGTGATTTCAAACTCTCTCTTCCCCACCTTCTTCTGATTTCTTCTTCTCCCCTTTTCCTGGGGTAGGGGGAATGCTTCCTGGCCTGTATATAGGTTTCAAGAATCTATTAGGTAGCTTTAGAAGAATTAGATATTATTTTTAGATGTGTGGAGGAGATATACTATGTATATGTAGTCCGATACAAAGAAAACAGTATTATGCCAGTTTCCATCCTTTGATTTTATCTTCACAGTCTGATCCTTTCCTGTTATAGAGAAGAGAATGTGTGGGTAATTTCTTTAGAAAGCTATGAAGGGTCCTACAAAATACCATATTTAGGTGATTATGTCAGTAAGAATATGACATCTTATTATATATTATTCATTTACCACACATTCAGGAATCCTAGTAATAGGATTGTGCCTGAGTTCTGCTTAAAAAGAAAAAAAATTGCCCAAAAGCTTACAATGTATTACATTAGTCACAATACAAATACAGACGGAAAAGGGAATAGAAGGAAGCACAAGTTAACTATAGAGCTTTAGAAGTTTCATTTCCTTTATTCTTTGTAGTCATTGTGGTAAGAATAGCTTTAAATAGAATCTAAAGCACTATAGTGAGTGGGAAGGAGAATTAAACCTCACTCGATGCAAGAAGTCAGTGGGCCACATATGGCTAAGCTTGAGAGGAGTATAGGCTTGGCCTTTTACTGTATTTTTCTTTATGCCCTGCTTTCAGCCTGTGTTGGAGACAGGATGGTGGACCAGAAGATTCTTTGGTCACACTGAGTATGACTGCTATTATACTCTCATTTTAGGGTGTTTAAAAGAAGACTCTTTTCCCAAGCATGAATATAGCATTGTGTGTGTAGGACAACATAGAAGTGCTTGTTTGAAATTTTAAACATGTGAGTAGATAAATGCTAAGCTTGGATCACTGGTTTGAAGAAATGGGTTCTGAAACCATTGGTTAGGTGAATTTGGATCAACTTCACAAAATGGAATTGAAGACCAGATTTTAGAGCATCTCAAAGACTGTTTCCAGAATAAAGGGAGGAAGGGGAAAATTTTAGATGTATGCATAAAAAGATGTGTAAATAATTCTGATTTTTTTTCTTGACCAGATCCAATATGGCACTTTTTTTTGGTGTGCTTCATTTATTAAGTTATTAGACTGATCTTTTGCTAGTAAGAAATCAAATTCTTCAAGAAAGGTTCTTTTATCTCAGCATGTGGATTCTGATTTTTGAAGTCTGAAGAAAGTGATTAATTTTAGCAGTATTCCTGATGCCAAGAACTTGCAAAGGGGTGTGCAAATACCTTTACTATGGTCACTGTCCCTAGAAATGACATCTTCTGTTAAACGTTCTTCATGTTGCTGCCCTCAGAGTTGTGTCACTGAAATAAGACTGATGCCCATCTCTGTTCCTCAGCTAGTTTTCACAGTAGTGTATGACACATTTCCATTTGGTCTGTACTTTTTTCCTTTAAAAAAAATATTAATATGATTCACACAATAGAAACAGAAATAGAATATGTCACAAATATTGTTTTGTCATCTGTTGTATTTTGAGAGCTGGTTAAATATTGACAAAAATGTTAGACATGAGAAGATAAGAAAGAAAACTATCATTGTCATAGAGCTAATGATTAAAAAAGTATTGATCCATATGCTTCTATAATTTCTCAGAAGAGGTCTTATCAGTTATTCCAAATGAATAATATTTAATATTTCCACCTTCTCTTCCTTTTTTTTTTTTGTTTTGTTTGTTTTGTTTTGTCTTGTTTTTAATGTAACATGAAGTTCCCATGACATTCATGATCAGATGCATCCTTTAAAGTTGTCATGCTATCTCTTGGAAATTTACCATACATATATTATTTTTTGTTAGAGCGGGTGTTTCTCTTGGGAACATAAAATTCTATTAAAATCGCTATGGAGATAAATTAAAATTCTTCCTCATATGTGGAAGTTTTGCATATGGCTTTTTGATTTGCTCGTGAGATAAATTTCCTGAATTGGTAGTCATGGCTAGTAAACGGTAGATGGAAAAGCCTACTATATTTGCCCATTTCACTTTTGAAAACAGTTTTCCCATAGTTTTAACATTAAAATGGAATAAATTAGGCCTATTCTTACAAGAGGTTGTCATAATCATGTCTACCATGTGTCCAGAGTGTGTGTACATGCTGCATTGTTCTATACAAGTGCATGCTAACTTCAGTAACTTTCCAAGACTGTGAGTGTAAACCTTATTTTGAGCAACATTCAACACAGGACTGTCAGGTTTTGAAGCATCTAGTTACAGGTCTAAGTTATTGTTGCTCCAGTATTATGGCCTGCTCTATAGTCTGATTTTCTGTATTAAACAGTATAAGAATGATTAATTCTTAAAAATGTAATATTAGCTGCCTTACTATCTTATGTAATATATTGCTTTATAATTGCTACGAAGTTGTAAATTTGAAAAATAGATTTTATTTAAATTGTTTTATGATTAGCCCTGTAGTTGAAATTTTGTAGCTGGCAGGTTACTTGTGTGAGTTGCACTTCATGACTGAAATATAATTATTGTGTAACAGCAATGTAATGATCATCTCTGTTACATCTACCTGGAATTTTTCATATAAAACTTATTTTTGGTAGGAGGCTGACTGAAAATTTAATTAATTCGTGCTACTTTTTGCAGTTTATTTTTAGATTTCAGTTCCCCAGTAAAGGGGTACAAATGTTTTGAGAAAGACCATTCTTTTTCAACATTTTTAAAAACATATTTTTACATGTCTTTTATTTCCCTTTGACCAGTAAATTGCAAAATTTGTTCTCCATGCAGCCTTAAAAACCGTGAAAGACTTTTAAAATTTTTTTGGTTAGTTTAGATTCGTTTATTTGATATGTCCCTTTTACAGGTGACTCATTTACTTGCAGTGTCGTAATCAGTATCTAATAGAAAGTATGGTAATAAACAAAACGTAGTCTAGTAAAGAGGCAATCCCATATTCTATTTAGTAGTAGAGAAAGCAAAGTGATCTGAGTATGTTCCATCTAAAATCAGTAGCATGAGCAGAATGTGGCTTATACTTCCTGACATTTTTTCACTTTTACATTGTAAGATCTCAGACAGACTTACAGCGTCTTTTTATTTAATTTCTTTTTTTCTGGGTAAAGAGAGGGCATGCTTGGAGACAGCAGTAACATTTTAGTGTTCAGCAAAATTATATTTCATTCCCTGTAAAGCAGAGACTTGCTTAAAACAAATTAACAACCTTCTCTTGCAGCAAAGGTGATGCTTCTTAAAAAAAAAATAGAATAAGACTTTGCTGTTAACAGTGTATTGTATTTTCACAGGTATCCAAATTATGAATTTATCAGTGATAACTCCATATCCTGGTCAGCGGGACTTCATAATCGATACACTGAAAACTCCCTAAGAGGTGTTATTCTGGATATTCACTTTTTGTCTCAGGCAGACTTCCTGGTCTGTACATTTTCATCCCAGGTAAACAGCAATACAAATACAATACAGAATATATGTACCAGTTCTGAATCTTACTTTTCTTCATGCTCCTGTTATCTTATTATCAGTGTTCTCTCATGAAAATTTCAGGGAAGAATTAAAGGCTTGGTATGCTATGTGAACATTGAGAGGACTGTAAGCACTGGTTGATTACTTCTCTTCAATTGAAGTTACTGGCTTAATTAAGACATTTGAAATGAGCAAGAAATAATATTAAACATGTTTAAGAGTCCCTTGTTTTGCATAAAGTTACTGTATAACTAGTATCCATCCATTTCTACGCAGCTTAGTTAGGGCATTTAAAATAAGTAAAAATTGTTTTAAACATGTTTAACACTTCTTAATTTTGCATAAGGTTAATATATAACTTGTGTCCATCTATTTCTACACATCACTGCACTCTACTACAGTTCAAACATGTCTGCCGTCACCTTAGTTGATTTTGGGAATGGAAAAGAATGAAGAAAGCAGGCATTTAATTTCTTTTCAGTCTATTATATTTCTAGCAACCCAGCAGCAGCGCAATAAATGTGAATTCTGACCACTGTAATCCATAGAGACTTCTTGTTGCAGATAATTATATGCTACAAGCTTCCTTTCTTGGGTGGTCTGATGAAGCAAGTTGGAGTCCGTTAGAAAACTGAATCATAGAATTGTCATTGCTGGCATTTTCTTCTTTATTACGTCATATTGTATATTAATTTTATATATAATGAAAAGCTGTTTTAAGATTTAAAAAGATCAGAAAGCAGTATTTTGTGCCTGATATGCTGATCCACCTAATTCAAGTATGGCAAAATATGATTGAAATCAAACAGAGTTAATGTTTTTTGCCTACTGTTGTCATATACGCTCTTAGGTGACACTCCTGGTTAGGAAAGCATTCGACTATAGATGGCGATAGATTATGATTGTACTGTTACATGGAAGTGGACACAAAACTGAAAGTTAAAATTAACTTCAAAAAGAAATGTTTTCCACAGCCTTAAATGTAAATTGTTTTCTGCACTGTAATGACAATTAGATAGGTAACAAGCATAGTATTAATACTAATATATGATCAATACAGTGGTATATTGACCTTGACAACCAGAATTCTTAATAACATTACCATGGCAAGAAGACAGCAAAACCAGAAAAAGCATAGAAAAGCCTCTTATCCTTCAATCAATTTTGTGGATACATTTTTTTTTTTTTTTCCACTGTTCACCAAACCCAATGAAGAAAATGACATTTTATAGCATATTTAGAAGGTTATTAATATAGGCTACTTCAGACCAAGACATGAATCCAAAATAAAAATCGTCACTAAGAAAAGCTTGTGGGGAGCCATCCACTTTTATAATAATGTTTGATTCGGCTGAAGTATGTCCACTGAATGCATATCACAGTGAAAGAGATGATCATCAGCCAAGACCTAGGGCTGTATGTCTTAAATGCCACACGTGCATTGGTGTAGAGACAGTTCATATTCTGAAGGAAGAATTATGTGATCTTGGATAAAAAATTAATAAGAAACCTATAATGCTTTCTGCTATTATTATATTCAGATAGCTGTGTTAAAAAATGTTAGATGTTTGCTTTAAAAAAAGACACTGGATATAAACATAGAAGAAACATTTAATTATAGGTACAAATGGCTTGGACAGAATACATTATAATTGAATTGTAAGTGTTGGACTAATTTCAAAAGAAGAATATATGTTAAAATACATTGACATAGTTAAGGTGTTCAGGTTGGTGGAGACCTCTGGAGGTTGCCTGGTACAACCCTCTTTGAGGGTATCTTTGAGGTATATGGTATCTGTGAGCTCCAGTTTCATTCTGCATCTCCCTGCGTTTGACAGTAGGCCTGTTTGCTGGATGATATATTTGGTTTTCCAAAGTTACAGAAAATTCTACTAAAGTTTAGGAAATCCTGTGTTAGACTGTACTCTCAATAGCTAGGATTATTAATTTGGTCCAACCATCTACTTAATTTATTCTAGGCATTTTCTTGTGCTTTTATAATTCAAACTCCCCCAAAATCATTTAGCACCAGTTTTGCTGGTCATGCAACAATGTGGATGTCTGCAGTATTTTCATCTATTGGGCTTTTCTAAGGTCTGTTGCAAGTTTTCCCACTGTTCAGAAACATTTCTCTTTTATGGGTTTCAAATTTGATCCTCTAATCTCTAACATTTGAAATACTATATCTGTCCTTTCATCAATGAAATAAACAGTTTGATAGTTACTTTGGCATTGAAGGTAAGCAAAATCAGGCTGTTAATGACCATCTTTTGTCTAATCTGTGTGAAGAGAAAGTAAGGATAACAATGTAATCTAATTTATTTACAGTGTGATTTTGGACTTTCACATTAATCAATTGTATGCTGACTTTTTCCCATTTTCTTTTCCTTGCCAAAAAGAGTCAAAACTTCATTACGGGGTATTAAGAGAAAATGACAGTATATGTGAATAGAATCAGGCGCTTTAGGAGGACCCCTATATTAATTCTTATTTATGCTACCAAAACTAAATGGATACTGATATAAGCTGAAGAATAGATATTTCATTAAAGTTTTTACTGTTGTTAAAGAAATTAGGCCCATCAAGTGATGTGGAGTCAAGGGAAACAATGTACCTTGACACTGTATTTCAGCAACATCGCATTAATTGAGATGTATAGAAAAGCCACGTGGTAGTTACACAATTCGTAACAGAGTAGCAGAATTAAGACTGCACATTAAAACAAAGAGCTTTCTTGTCTCTTCAGTATTCATTTAGATGAAGTTGTAGCTCCCTCTGCCTGATGTATTTTTCTTCATAATCTCATTTCCTTCCAGGACTTACTAGTCTTTGTATTTTGCATTATACATGTAAGTACAGGCTGCAAAACAAGTGAACCTATGAATAAAAAATGGGAGGCTGGCTTTAACTATAATTCTGCATGTGGGTTCTTTGCCTACTGCCCTCAACAGCTTATAATTTAGTTACCCAGGTTTGGCACTACAAAGGAAAGAGTTGCTGAGAGGACATGTTCTATGTTTTATGTCAGGTATGCAGGACGCTTACACTCACTAAAAAGCATTTCTACTGAAAAGATGTAAAATCTTTTACAGAGTGTGTGTGTGTGTATGTATCCTCCTCCCAGGGTGCACACACATGCAGAGAACAAAACATCAAAAACGGTCACAGAAGCTATAAAATAAATAACCTCTTACCAACGTATGGGTAATCAAATTTGTTTCTATATTACGGGGTATAACAGGTACTTCGAAATAATTAACTTCAGCCTGATCTTCTGAAAGCTAGTTCTAAAAAGTTATTTCAAAGATCAGATGTGGAGGGATAAAAGGAAATCTATTACATTTTCAAAGGAAATGCCTCTTTCAAAGAAGGTAGGAAAGTACAAATATGTCTAGTTTGACTGATCAAAGTTCTATTCACCATATCTTCAGAGGGAGAAAAGTAAAATCAAGCTTTACTATATTTACATAGACTGAAAATTATGCAAAAGCTCAAACGCTTCTTCATATTGAAAAAGTCTGCTTGATCAAGCTTATGCAAAATCAGAGCAAGATAGAGTAATGTAGATTAGAAGTCAGAAAGGTCACAGTGGCCAAATCAGACACCTGACAGAGAAGAGCTTTCTAGCCAATTGTTGAAAAGAGCTTTGTTTAATACGGTGGCAGCCTTTTGTGTTTCTGGCAGCTCTGAGAGATACAACATGATTCTGATGTGGGGACCTGTTTTCAGTCTGAAGAAAAGTCCCTTCATAAAATGTGATACAATGACACTTCAAAATGCATTTCTGTCCTCACCAACATCATTATTGTCTTGCTGGAATTCAGTTTAATTTAATTGTCTTCGGAGTTGCCAACAGTCATAATTCTGTCACTGTTCTAATATTAACAGCATTTTAAAGCCTTGGATTTCTGGAACTGCTTGAATGTGAAAATTGGAGCTTCCTTTAGAAAAGTAAATGTAAAGCCTCATTATTGCAGAATAAATTTGAAAATGTAAGTTCTAGAAATAAAATACAGTTTTTATTAGTAGTAGGAAAGGAAAACATTTGCTTTTACATTTGATTGGCTACATACCATTCATTTTAAAAAGCAGGATGGCTAGTGTTCATATAGATGTTTTCAATTTTTACTGGAAAGTAGACTGTTCTAATTATTTATCTATTCATTTATTTACCAAATCTTATCACCAGAGTGCTAATTAAAATGCTGCAAAATTGTATGCTTCTTGTTAGTAAATATGCAGGTTTTTTGATTTTGTTTTCTTGACCTGGGCATTCCAAAACTTGATCCTCTTGTGAATTAATTGTTAGACATTGGTTGCTGACTTCTGTAGTATATTGCAGGCACACACAATATTTATGACTTCTCTTCTGTTTTTATTTCTAAGGTTTGTCGAGTTGCCTATGAAATTATGCAGACGTTGCATCCAGATGCTTCAGCATATTTCCATTCTTTGGATGATATCTACTACTTTGGGGGACAGAATGCCCACAACCAGATTGCTATTTATGCTCATCATCCACGAACTGCTGATGAAATTCCTATGGAACCTGGAGATATAATTGGAGTAGCTGGAAATCACTGGGATGGTTATTCAAAAGGCATCAATAGGAAATTAGGAAGAACAGGCCTGTACCCGTCCTATAAAGTTAAGGAGAAAATTGAGACAGTCAAATATCCTACGTACCCAGAGGCTGACAAGTAGATTAAAAGGAAGACATTCGGCAGCAATTCTCAATTTTGATTGGTTTGAACCAGTCAACACATTAACTAATGGTTTATATGGGACTTGAATTTGCATTTTAACATGCAGTTAAAATCAAAGCCTTTAGCAATGAACCTGGATAAGAAGCTAAGAACAAATGGATGGGCTATTCTCTGAACTTACTCTTAAACATTTTTTGTTATATGCACTCTCACACATGCACACACAAAACCACATACAACAGGAAAACTGTTGTTTTATACTTTTTGTCTCTTTTCAGGATTTGTCCCAGTCATTAGTCTTATGTGAGCTTTGGGCTCTTTTCTCTGCCATTAATTGACAATAATGTTCAGACTTATGACACTGCCACATTGTGTAATTTGAGTGACATAAACATATTTTGTATGTGCAAAATTTAAAACATGGTGCCTATATTTGAAAAATCTGTGACCTTTTTAGAAGAGCCATGCCTATTTCATAATGGGCAAGAGTCAATCTTCAACTGGTGTTACCGTGACCACTGAACTTGCTTCAAACAACAGATTCAGATTTCAGACTAGATTTCTTTACAAGTTTATTTTTAGCATTCCATTGATTACTTCTCATCATTAATAAAATAAAGGATACATCCAACAATAAAATAGTCATTGTCTGTTAGGAACTTTTGTAAAACGATGCCATGAACAGATTCTTCAGTACTGATAATGTTTCTGGACGTTGCCTTTGATTGAAAGAAAAAAACAAACCAAAACAAACCACAAAACCCACAAAGGAAAAAGTAGCTGGCATTTCATTGAATTTTTAAACACTCATTATGTAGTACAACAACTGCTAGTGGCACAGCGTTTCTCGGTTCTGTGGACAGTGGGTTCCAGCAGGATGACTTTAGTGGCTCAATTCCTTACGTTTACTCTCTAGCACTGTTCTTTTACCTTCCATGTTTCTCTTCTGACGATATTTTTTTAGGGTATTATAGATGACTATTTATCAATTTGGCATTGAATGTAGTTGCTTTTAAGCAAAATACTTCAGATTATCCTGTTTATAGAACTCATCAGTCTAGAGTACTCTAAAAAAATCTGACAATTTACCCAAAAAATAGTAGGTTCCAGGAAAATATACGCAAGGATTAATTTTTATGCATGACATAAAATTGTTAGTAATTCTTAATGTTTTGAAATCTGTTGCTAGTCTGCTCTCTATTAAGAAAAGAGATAATTTGCAAAACAATTTTACAAACAAATTTGTAGATTTGGAGGTTGTGTGTGTATATATATATAAAAAATGTATGAGATAGCAAGGGATTATTTCCAAATAGAAATAATATTAATAGCATTATACAGGTTCTAGTGCAATCCAGTCTGGAATACTGGAAGTGCAGAAAATGTTTACTATTCAGACACTGAGAAAATGCCACGGGTAAAGATTAAAAAAGCATGGCTGGTTGACCTTAACAAAGCAAAAGGTAAAAGGATACTTAATTATATTTTTGAATAGACCAAGGACAGTGTTGACATAACAAATGGATGCGCTTTACCATGAATAAATTTTAGGCTGAAAATTAAAAGGAAATCTTTGGTGGTGTGAAGTTCAGTAACAGTTTTCCAATTGAAATAGTGGTGAGTAGGATGGAACTTGATTGGTATGTAAAGGAATTAACAAAGTAGTTCTCTGACATTACTTGCAGGACTGATCTTGTAGATCTCTTCCAGTTATGTGTTCCTCAACTGAAAAACTATTTTGTGTCATGAAAAAGATAACAAAATCAAAGTTGAAAACTGCTGTGGAAAAAAAAGATAAATTGCCTGTTAGCAGTATTAAATAGATATATCAGTAAAAATGAGCATAGATACCAAATGGGATTTAAAGACAGATTGAAGGATACAGGCAAATGAGTAAGAGTGGCCAAGAAATGCTAAAGAGAATGAATTTTTGTGACTAAAGATGGCTAGAGTTAACTGACGTTTCTGTATTTTGGAACTACTAAGGAAGCTCTTCGATGTTAGTTTCCTGTCTAAGTGATTCTGGTAAATTTTCCACTAACTTAGCCAAACTTTTGGTATTTCAGAAGCACAAAAGTAGGCTAAATTATGACTTTTTTAACTTAAATTTGAATTGCACATATAAAGCTATTGCTACTTTCCTTTTCAACTTGAAAAAAAAAATGCAAACCCACAAACATTTCTTCCTCAATGATTAGATCAATGCATTTTATCTTTGGGGAAACTAATTTAATTCTTTCTCCACAAATGCTACATTATCTATTTGATATTTCTAGATTTTGAAAAAGTTTTATTTTTGAAGCTCTTTACTTACAGCTTCAGAGCTCATCATTTCCAGCTCATTTTTTAGAGTGTGATGCAGAAATAGTATTCATAAATGAATTAACATATGAAAATTCCTCCATAGTCAGGTGACTCAATTGAAAATATCACTAAAGAAGATAACAGAACATCTAAGATGAGCCCAAAGGCAAGAACAGATCTTCTGATGTAGTAATGAGAGAACTTAAAACACTGATGTTATAGAAGACATACCTATATAATGTGGCAATTCCTCAACAGACTATATCTGACAAAATATTGGCAAGGTACGTGTGCCTCCCTACATATTCTAAGTACCTAATGAGTAATTAGCTCATCATCTTTGAGAAAATGATCATGAAATGGTATGAAATTATAAAATTATTGTTAATAATTAAGAAATGTACTAATGTAGATGCTATGACCTTATTCCCCTGGCCCGTGTGATCCTCTAGTGCTTATAATGCGGTACTTCTCAGAGGAAGAAACCTAGCAATAGGCTGCTTACTAGATGCATCTGTTTCTAGAGATTTGTTTCCTTTAAGACTACTAGTTAGTTACATCTTGGAATCCTGGGACCTTGAGACATTAAAACTGAGTTTGTTTTATGTTAAACAAAATGAATATTAGAGACTTTATTCTCAGTTATGGTGGAGTCCAGGTAGTATGGAAGGATCAATGGGTAAATGAAAATGAGACCCCCAAATTTTTATTGTAGCTCACAGAAAAGTGAAATAACAGGAAATAAAAATTTTGTGTTAAATACCTGAAAGAAAGCTGAATCTTTTGAAAGTTGTAAACTCATTAAGATACCAGGCAGAATGCTTACAAGCAAGCAAGCATACATCTTGTTTTTCTGTCCACCTTGTAGCTCTCCAACGATCTAGTCATGTGATTTTTGCCTGATACCAAACCGCCAAGTGACATCCGTAAAACAAAGACAGCCCTCATACTCTTCTAAACAAGCTTAATGTTTAATTACATTTTTCCTCTTTAAGAAGCATTTGTGCGTGTGTGTGTGTGCGCGTGTTGTTCATAAAAAAGAATATGAACAGTAGTCTTTCCTTCTTTGCTATTTTACATTATCATTGTCACGTTCTCTGTAATAACTTATTTGCCAGGTAAATGTAGTCTCTGGAAACTGAATATTCTACTTGCTTCTTACCAGCTGGGCTAAGAAATTTATTCTGAGTAGTTCAGTTAACTAGTCTTCTCTGACATTGGTGCACCTGGAGACTGGGGTCATCAGCAGCAGTTTGCTGCTACCACCACAATTACACCAACCTGAGTTCTGTCCTTGATTTTCAGTTCAGCCTCCAGTCAGATGCATGGGATTCCCAGGCCTCCTCTACCAACATCCTGTCCCTCTGAACTGCAGAGTATTATGGATTTGTTCATGAAGGATGATGTTTTATTTCAAAAATTTTGAATATTTACCTTCAGAGAAGTCTTTTGTCTACCCCTTCTACCACTGAATTTTAAGGAAACTTGCCATTACCAGAAAGATTTTTCTCATTTACCATGTTTTTCAGAAAAGAGAACTGATGATACCTTTCTTATGGAGAGATATTCACAATGTGAAAGTTTCCTCCATAACGGGTTTTATGTTTCTTTGGTAAGCAATTATAAAATAAAGGTCTTGCCTTCTGAGCTAGGAACATAAAATTGAAAATTTTCTTTCCAAATTCTTGATAAGGGGAGGGAGATTTTCCTTCACACCTGTGGGGGAGCACCTACCATTTGGAACTTTTTCAGAACAGTGAATTGAACTTTTGTTTTTCCGGGTCATAAGTTTCTTTGCAATGTAATCTCTCAAGTGTCTGAAGAATTCAGGTAAAAATAATTTGCTTAGTTTGGGAGGTGAGAAGGAGAGAGTCTAATAAGAAGACATGATATTGTACTCTTAATTTAAGTTGCTTGTTTATAAAGCCACAAATAAACCTTTCGGTGGTGAGTTAAGGACCTCTGCCAGCAAAATCATTCTGCTCTTCGCCAGAAATACTTAAAATTTGCAACCCCTCTTTTGATTTTACCTAGTACAAGTCCCAGTCATGTGTATAAACATCGTGCTGGTCATATTCTGATCATTGGTTGTTACTATATTACAGTTTCATTCATATTTGGGTGGCTTGGAAGCAGGCTGTCAAAGGGCACAAACTTTGTTTGATTTACTTATTGTGTTGAATTAAAAGTGCATTTAAAACTCACAAAAATTCCATTTCCCTAAGGTACCACTAGAATTCTAATGGTAGTCTACAGACTTTTGTCAAGGTCCCCTATATGTACCTGCAAGCTTATAGGGAGCAAGACTGAAGGAAAGTAAGTTATGCATAAATATCAACCGCACATAGGTAGGGTTAGACTTCATAATATCCTGTTCATTTCTGAAAAGCATGAAATGTGGCACTGTGTGATACAAATAAGAGGATAGTATAAAATTTCCAAGCCTGCAAAAAAAATTGCTAGTCTGTTTGCCTGTGTCACTGGTTGCATTCACTGTGTACAAGATTATTTCAGAATCAAAGTACATAAGGCAGAGGTCTTCCAAAGTTACTACAGGCATCTGAGAATCCCTTCCATTGATGTGTTTGCTGCTGTTTACCCCTTTTGGTACCATGTACAAATACCTAACAATGCTGATGATGTTTGCTATTCAGTGGAACCTTCCTTTATGTTGTGTGCTTGTTTCCTTTGACTCAGTTTACTTTTCAGCAGATTCCTATTGCCACTGCAATTCAAGCAAATTTGGATTAATGCAAAGACATGCCAATTATTTGCACCAAAATGTCATTACTGTTGCTCAAAATTAACTTCATGCTCTTAGGCTGACTCCTAAGGAGATGCTGTTGAGGGAAGGAGCGATCTCCACTGAACTATACTGTACATGTTATATAACAGCTGACACATACATGCACTGGTTTTACTTTCAATTTTGCGTGATTTTCCACTTTATACAAACTCAAGACTTCAGTTTTATTTTAGTATATTTATGAAGGGTTTTCTTGAGCATGGTGAGACAAAGCCCCAACTATCCTATCTTTTCTTCAAGAAGTATATCGGACCTCACAACATTTCCTCTAATTGTCTTAAAGACATCCTCCAGTCACAACATTTTAATAGAATCATCTAGATCAACGTTTCCTGAAGACTATGACATTTTTATGCTCTTCCATTAGCCACACTGCCTACTTGCGTCTGAGCCTGACCTACCATGGTCGTATGAACCTTCTTCAAACCTTTGTGCTTAGTGTTTTGATTTCCTTGCCTAGTGGCTAGTGGTCATTACTTGACCAGGAATCCAAGGGACAGCAAGTGCCCATATTTGATTTTTCG